ATAAATAGTAATTGAATACTTCACATCTGCTCTGTGTCTCCATAATATTAATATAAACAGTCATTGGTGTAAAAACACATACTGAACAATTGTCCTGTGCTTAGAAACAGAAAGCAGGAAAAGACAGGCTTTTCTTTCTGCTATTAAGTAGACTTGGGCATTTTGTTCAACCATATTGCTGTACGTCTTGGCCCAAAGGTACAGGCTTCCTAGTGATGGGACCAGCCCTCTGCTTTAGCAGCCCTGACAGACTGCAGAAAAGACATGTTGGTCAGATGCCCTCATCGTGGCAAGGAACCAATCAGAAGTTAGCCAGCAGGGCTGTGCTTTACGGCTCTGGGTGTGCTTTATGTACAAGTGCACAATAATGATGTTCAGAGCATAGCAACCGCCCTGGAAGGGCCTATGGGCCATAACAACCAGCTGACCAATCAACACAGGACAGGCTGCCTAAGCCTGGATGCAATTCTGAGATTGCTGCATACCCCTAGACACTCCTCTCATGCCACTCAAAATATCCCCTGCCTCTTGGTTCCCCTGGGTCTTTCTCCAGCCATTCAGCACGATGAATGGATGAAAGGCCTGAGCTAATGGGGTTAGCTTGTTAGACAACTACAATAAAAGACTTGGCTTTTGCATCGAAATGGGTCTCTTGGTGATTTGGGGGTTTCAGAATTTGGGCACAACACTAGGAAATGAGGGATTCAAGGATTTTATACACAGAGCTTAGTATGAGCAAAACCTCTGATAACAAAGACCTTTGTGCTTGAAGAAGTATTTGAAGGCATCCACTGGGTCTGAACTAGGGAACACATTTTTAAATATTTGCTCTTGTTTCGGAAGTTGTTGAGTTTGTGATTGAGAAACAGTGATTGGAAAAAGAAAGAAATGGAAATTTTGTGTTACTCTAAAGCCATGTGAATGGAGCCCCTGAAAGGCAGAGCCCACTCTTCGTGACCTTCACGAGGCCACCTTCAGTTTGTTCTGAAGTGGGACTTCCATAGAGTCCACCGACCTCGAAGGTTCAGCACTTCCTGATTGGCCCTGCCCGGTTCAGAATCTGCTGGTAGTCATTTAAGTACTAAAGCAAACATCCCAGCATACTGTGTGTCAGAGGCGTGTAACTGGGATTCCACTTAATCTTCTTAACAAAATTTGTTTATGCTTATCATTATCATTGTTGTTGCTTCATTTTGTTTTTTTGAAGGAGGGCCTCTCTGTGTAACCTTGCTGTCCTGGAACTCACTGTGTCTGTTCACATCATGCTTGACAGAAAAGTGTGTCAGAATCTCCTGGAACTGGAGTCAGACAGCTGTGAACTGTTACGTGGGTGGTGGGAATTGAACTCTGGTCCTCTGGAGGGGCAACTAGTGCTCTTAGCCACTGAACCATCTCTCTAGCCCCAGATTCTACTTACTCTTAAGGACAAGCGTCATCTGATTCCCTTTAGAAGAGGCATACAAACTAGTGTATCTCATAGAAAAGAAAGTGGAATGGAGGTGAAGGGTTAGGGGTGGGGAGCTACTATTGATGGGTATAAAATTCTGGTTATATGAGATGGTAAATTCTAGAAATCTGCTATGCAACACTGTGCTAATTAATAATATTGAATTCTGCACTCAAAACTTGCTAAGATGGAAGACTTCATGTCAAGTATTCACACCATAATTTAAAAAAAAGGAGTTCAGGAAAAAGTGGGCACAGATATAAGAGAAAGATGAGTCTGTCAGATGTATAGAGGATTTGTTCATAATCTTACTTCTGTAATGGGGTTGAACTCTAGGGAAGCAAAAAGAGCCACATGTATCTGGACCCCACAAACGTCTTATTCTGTGAGGCAGTAGTTTGTGTGATTGCATAATTTCTTCAAAATTACAATTATACATTTTTACTTATATTAGTTTTGGTCAGGGCTAACTCACAAAACAATCATTTTACCTGAAAATTAAAAACTCCATTTTTTCCCTTTGATATGGAATGATGACATCTGTAGAGTCTGCCTGTGCTTCTAATACTTAAGGGTATCACAGGTCAGTGAACACAGGAAGCCGGATACAGTTCAGACCATAAAAGGCTTAGCAAAGACATTAGCGCCATGTGGACTCTGATATTCTCTAATCCCAAATGAGAACTTCCTTATTTATACAAAAAAAAAAAACTGCTGGCCTTTGGAAGATCTGAGTGACACTTAGACTTTGTTGGAAGGGGGTTGTTGGAGGATTTTTGTTTTGTATTGTTTTTTCAGTCTCCACATCCCAGCCCTCCCAAGCTTTTGACTCCCGGAAGAAGGGGGAAGCATGATAGCAATGTTTCTGTGCTTGGGTTGGATTGGATTAACCAAACATTGTTGTAATCATTTGCACAGTGACAGATCAATTAGGCAGAGTCCAGGACACAGCAAAAATATTTATGGTCCTCCTTCTTCCTGGAACAATGCACACCACTGCCTGGCAGCCAGTGAGCCACCACCTGCTTTTCTAAGCAAACTGACATTTTCTTTGGCTAGAAATATCAGTTAAGCTACCCATAGACTAGGCTGTATAAACATGTATGGAATCACAGAGACAGAACATTGTGCAGTGGCCACACTCTACCACAGCAAAAAGGCCACCATGTCCCAGCTCGGCTTGGGCACAAAATCTCTACAAATTCATCAATCTTGGTATTTATTGAATTATTGCAGCAGGCCAAATACATTCTAAATATTGTGTCTTTAAACGATCCATTTGATCTTTATTTAAAACGCATGTTGTGGATATTGTTGCTTTTTTCATTTGACAGACAAAAACCATTGATTTTTCAAGAGGTTTCAATTTGCCCAATGACACTCAATTTTACACCTAAAATGAGCAGCAAATGTTTCTTTATGAATTTCATACTATAACATCCTATCTTCTTTTCAAGTAATAAATACTAACAAATCTTAATTTGCAATGCGCACCCACCCCTTTTGGGACAGTTCTAAAACTCCAGCTTCTTATTTGGATTTTTCAAGAAGACCTTCTCCATGCCAGTACAGAAGGTTTCAATACGGTGAACTAAGGGGTCCATGGGAAAGGGACATTCAGGCAGTCATCTGAGTCAGTCCCTTCTTAAGAAGTTATAATCTGGAAATGTAATTCCCCAAACAGAAATGGAAAATACGTAACAGAAACCGTTGCTGTTTAAGATACAGATAGATTGGGGCTGGAAAGAAGGCTCAGAGGTTAAAAGCACTGACTAGTCTTCCAGAGGTCCTGAGTTCAATTCCCAGCAACCACATGGTGGCTCACAAGCATCTAATGTACAGTCTGCTAATATGCAGGCAGAACACTGTATACATAGTAAATAAATAAATCTTTTAAAAAAAAGATGCAGGTAGATCACTACATGCCCGGAAAACTCAAAATACATTCAAATACTCCTATGCAACATGGCAGTGAGATATGGAGAGACTATTCAGGACTTGGGTAGACAAGTAGAACCAGAGAAAACTGCAATCCCCATGTCCTTTGTCTCTGGGCCCCCCAGAGTCCATGTCTTCTGGCTGGAATTCATGGACCAGGCAATCTAGCTCATGCAGGATAACTCAGACTAACTTGCATGAAGGATAAAAATCTGGTCACTCATAGTTTTAAGATCTATGGAAATGAGATACCCACAGAAGCATGGCTTTCTGGAAGAGGAAGACAAAGACCCAGCAGTGGGCCATAGTGGGAGGCAGAGGGAGACTTCCCGGGGTCTGTGGCAGATGCTACCATCCAGGCAGTAGGTAGGAGTGCCAGGTGGTGAGGACAAAAGGTGCCCTCCTAACGGAAGGACCTGTTAGTGAAGTCAAGAGGGAAGATATAGAATTGAAACCCATTCCCTAAATGGCACCTTAATAAGGTACCTCTCCTTACAGACAGAGGTGGTAGCCATCTCTACAGGGCCTCATAGGTCAGACCTCATCTGTTTTCTCTTTCTCCAAACTTTGAACAGCTTTACAATGCAAGAAAATCACTCTACCTTACTGATGTAGGTGGTCGGTATTGTGTGATTGTCTAACTAGCATTGCTAGACAATGAATCTTAAAAGACAATAATTTACAAGGACAGATCAAAGAAGCAGAATTTAATTTTTTTTTTAAAAATGACCCTTCAAGCACCTAGATAAAATGACAACTAAAAGCAAATTCCTTCTCTTTCTTCCTTCTGCATGTTCCCTTTTCATCCCTGTTTTGTTTCCTGTCTTTCTCCTCCAGTTTGGGAGGCATCAGAATCCATCTATATAGAGAGGATCTGGGGAGTCCTCATGGAAGCAGGCAGGGTGCTGAGGCAGGGGAGGGGTGCCAGGCAGGAGCACAGTCAAGGGGGCAGGGGGCGGTACAGATGAAGAGATGCAGGAGCACAGCTGGGGGAGGAAGACTTGCAGATGGAGAGATGTCTTGGGGGAGTTTGAAGATTTATCAAATCACAAATAATTAACGTGCCTGAGTCAATAGAGGCACTGTTGATAATGAGAGCCACGTTGCATTTTAATGGAAAATGAACTTGTAAACATGTCAAGTCAGAAGGCCAGAACAGAACTGAAGTATTAGATCAGAATCAGTATGAACTAGAGATCCAGATAGGTATGTCCTTACCTTTTCTTGTTATCCTTTGTTTTTTGAGACAGGCTGGCCTAGAATTCACCAGGCAGTCCAGGCTGACCTCAAGCTCATGGCAATCCTCCTGCTTTAGCCTTTCAAGTGCTAAGATAATAGGTGTGAGCCACCACATGGCATTGGCTTTTTCCTTCCCACCCACCCCCAACCCCTTCATTCTGTCTTTGTTTCTTTCTCTTTTTTTCCTCTGCCTTCTTCCTTGTCCTCATTAATCTGTCATCTAATAAAAACAATGGTACTGCATTAGTCATAACAGCATAAATCACCTTGACTTTCACCTATTGTCATCTAAAGAAACCATAGGCTGACCTGGAGTGCTGGCTCAGTGGTTACGAGCTCTTCCCAGCACTCATATGGCACTCATACGGTTCTGTACCTGCAGCTCCAGGGAATGTGACGTCCTTTTCTAGTCTCTGAGGCATCCAGACACGCAGCCAAGACATCCACACAAATAATTTTTTTAGGTTAACATTCCACTTTTCACCCCCAGAATTTAAAGTTTCTTAAATACTCATGCACTTCCTTATAATCCCTGGGCCAACCACAATGAAGAAGGCACAGGGAGAGAATGAGCAGTGCCATTTAAAGGAAAAGTGTCCCTGACTCAGGAGCCTGCGTTCTTTGAGGATCACTTTTCAAGCAATAAAATTGGCATTTCCTTATTACTTCTATTAACACACACTTATTACAGTCTTGCTCTGTTGAGGCAGTGTGTTCTTCCCCAGAACAATGTGCCAGTGATGATTTGCATTAACCCTGTCCTTGGAGAAAACACAGCACTGTGAGTGATTACTGAATGAATGCATTCCAGTATAAATCTCCAATGTTTTCAAAAGCAAAGTATGCATCTTGTAATATAAGCACTGATGGTAAGATACTGATAGAAGTTTGAAAAGCCCCGGCTATGCAAGCTCAGAGTCCCTGTCATGCAGCGGGACAAGTGTCCTTATCACTTGCACAGTGTCCAGTGTACTGTGTGGAGAGCTGATGAAGTCCTGAGTGAATGTGGGTAGTTGACATGGGCACGGCATGATGTCAAGGACCCCACTGCCTCAGACCCTTAGACATGGCAAAGCCTGCCTTAGTGCATGTGCCAATGTGAACAGTGTGTGCAGAAAATGGGCCACTGCTCCCTTCTCTGGGGCTCTCACAGTCTGAGACTGCTCCCCTGCACAGACCTCCTACAAAGATTAGTTAAGCCCGCTCTTCCTTCAGTTGTAGACAATAAACCCACTTCCTCCACTCACGTGCACAAGAGAAGCACACTGAGTTTCCAGGGTGTTGTGACTGCATCTCCATCAGAGCGCATAGCCCACCCAATCTCAGGCTTTTAGTGCGTGTGTGTTGTGTGTCTGTCTGCCTGCTCGCCTGTCTGTCTGTCTGTCTTGTCTGTCTATCCTTCCTTCATTCCCTCATCACCCCAGTCAGGTCAATCTCTAATGCCATGCAGAGCAAGGCAGTAATGTCTGCAAGTGTTTCTTGGCTCACGGAGAGAAAGGAACTTCGTAGTCAATATAACATGTGCAGTTCCGAAGAATGAAAAGCATGGCCATGGTGTATCATAACATAAAAGAAAGCCAAATAATATAAAATACTGGAACTGGATTGTTGGTAATAACCATTTCATATGGAAGTCATTTTGAACTTTTCCACACTTACGGAACTTTTTTACAAATCATCAAATTCTTAAATTGCTCTTTCAATGTTTTTAAAAGAAAATTGTTTATTTTAACATGTGAGTATTACACCACGTGAGTGTCTGGTGCCTCATAGGCCAGGAGAGACCTCCCCTGGAACTATAGTAACAGACAACTGTAAACCACTATGTGAGCACTGGGACTTGAATCTAAGCCCCCAAGAAGAGCAATTGGTGCTCTTAACCAGTGAGCCATCTCTCCAGCCCCTGCTTCTTGAATCTTAAAGAACAAAATACCTAAAGTGTATTGAAATTTGTGCTGTATAAACAAGTTTATTTCAGCAGTGATTTTTAGAACTTGAATTAGAAATTGCTTTGTCTAATAACAGAAGCAAGGGCTGGACGCTTTCGTAGTTTTGCTAATTAGTGGTGAGCACAGAGAGCAGAACTTAAATGACCTTAGCTGTCATCCAGTCCTTTCTCCTGTGCACACACATCTTGGCAGACCCTAGTTTCAGAACTGCAAAGAGGCCTGAGGCCAGAGACAGCAAGCTTCTCACACACAGTCCAGGCTGCAGGTCTGGGAACTAATTTCAATACAGAACCTACAGCCCATCCAACTGGTATCATTAAACAATGCTAAAAGTCATTGTAGGCACAACTGTCTTCAATGCTGATCCATGGAATTAAGTTAAATAACTGATTCACTGCTATTCGCATTGAAATATGGAAAACTTGATGAAAAAGGAGAGTTTTACAAACTCGGAGATTGACTGACTGATGTATTGTGGTGGTAGAGGTGGGACTTAGGGCCTTCTGCACGTAGACAAGCACCCTGACTCTGAGCTATAGCCTTACTTAGGCTTTGACTTTTTTGTGACAGTGTCTTGCTATGCCTCAGGTCAAGCTGACCAGAGACTGGCAGTCACCCTGCCTTAGCCTTACATGTGCTAGTGTTATAGGTATGAGTCACCAAGAGGGCTAGAAATTTTTAAATCATCTATGATAGCACAAATAAATGGAATAGAACATAAAAGACTTTAAATGGAAACTGTATTCTTGCATTGAGAAAAGTTGGTTAGTAAGTAATAAAAATAGAAACACTAAACACTACATGAAGAAACACTGAATTTGTGTGTGTGTGTATGTGTGTGTGTGTGTGTGTGTGTTTGTGTGTTTTGAGGTAGGATGCTGGCTCAAAACCTGAGCCTTAGATGTGCAAGACAAACCCTCTATCACCAAGTTCTACCTCAATTCTGGTTCATCAGTGTTATCACCATGTAACATAGACTGGCCTTGAACTACTTCACCTTCTGGCTTTGCTTTCCACTGGGGATGGAACTTAAGGCCTAACTTATGCTAGACAAGTACTCTATCTACCACTTGGCTACATGCCCAGCCCTTGAGTGGATTACAGGTGTGTATAACCATGCCTGGCCTCCATCAATGTTTCAGTTACAGAAAACATGGAAATCAAAAGCATTGCTAGCAGAACATTTAAAACATCAAAAAGAAAAATCTTAAAGTGTACTTTTTATCAAATAAAAATAAATGAAATAAACCAACCCGAAGGCCCAGGAACTATGCCTGTGCTCTCCTGAAAGGCTGTAAGCTTTGACGTCAACCTTCCTCTACCAGAAAGAAAAGATTCTTTTTGCTTGTTTGTTTTTTGTTTTTAGAAAAGTCTCTAGCAATCAAAGCCTTTATTATTCTATTAATATATAACCAAATGGTCCTTTCCCAACAAAACACACATCTCTTGTGAGGGCGGAGTTTTTGTTTCTGGTTTATATAACATTCCAGTTGGATTGTTACCATCACACTAGTAGACAATCTCCATTCTCCACAATGAGAATCACTTCATTCCAAGATGACAACAAGTTTATGGACAAATTCACAACTCGAATATTGGGGCAGACTTCAGCAGTTCTTCCTTGTTCACCAGCACAACTCACAGCACACTCCCACAGGGAAATGTCTTGCAATGCTCTCAGCTGGCTTTGCTTCTTTGTGATACTGTCAAAACCAACAGTTTGTACTTGTTTACTTCCAACTGTTAAGGAACATGATTTTCCAGCATCATCAGATCCATCTTTAGTGTGTAACGCTTCTTAAGGGCAGTAAGAAAGTCTACTCCAAAATTAGCTTTGTTTGGACAAACAAAGGAACCTCCTGTTGGGTGCCTGCATTTAAAATACATGGTACCTTCATGGCTGCCATCATGCTTTCTTCTCTCGGGATTGTCCCACTCGATTCCTAGCCAGAGTCAGGAGCAGGAGCCATTGAAAGCCAGACATACCAACTCCAGCAATGGCAAAGCTTCTACTCTCAGGAAGAAGTGTAGCTTAGGGCAATGCCCACTCCACAGTGTCCCCATAGGCCCAATGCTGTACGGGTCTCAGCTGCTGAATGTTCAAGAGGATAGCATTCCACAACAGGAAAGTATGTCAGGTGTCACACTCAAACACTAAGACACTTTTATCAGTTCTGTCACACGAGGAACAGCACCACAAAAGTGCACTGTTGCAAATTCTCCGTTAATGTTAACTCTTCTGCCAAAGACATCTAATGGCAAAATGTCACTCATTATAAAACAGCAGGAATCCAAAGTACGAGATCTGCCCTCAAGGCCCTGGGTTTGCACCAAGGGTCCCTCACCCTCCCTCAGCGAGGAAGCTTCCAGCAAAAAAAATTCTTTCTTCACAAGAAAGCCTTGGCTCTATGGACCTCTTGAAGGATGCTTTCTGGGCTTCTGATGGTCACATTGACAGCCTGGCTGTGCAATTAAGACAAAGAGCCCTTCTACCCAATCAAATACCCCATCCTTGTCTATGTCAAATAGTCAATGGGCGTTTGAAGCATCTTTTGGGCTAACTAATGAAACCACTCTTGACCGTAGGGATTGTTAGAGGCCTCAGGTCTGTCTTCCATGAGCAAACAACAGCTTTTCCAAGATGTCAATCCAAGAAATAAGTGAATGTTTGTTCAGTGAATAGACTGGGAGGCGAGGGTGGATTTGCAAACAGAAGACCCAGGATGGAAACGCCAAGAACAGCGTTTCCATGCTTTGTCCAAGTTCTTAGATAGTGTAGATGTGGCAGGTTGACACTGGCCAGACTTCTTCACATGTCGGGACTCTCTTGCCCACGTTCTGTAGTGCACTGAAACCCACAGGTTGCTTAAAGAACTGGCACGTTCTATGAGCTTTGTTTCAAATTATATGAGAAACTATTAGAGGCTGATACTCTAATTTTTTTTAGAAAAGCAAATTTTGAGTAGTATGAAAACCATAAGGTATTCATTTACTGAGAAGATGAGCTAAATTTTCCTTTAGGTTTTCTACAGAAATGATATCACTTCATAGATCTCACCTTAAAAAAGAAAATTAGTGTAATTAATTCAATGTCGTTCTTCTGACACAAAATAACCTCACAGGTTTGTGTACCTAAAATCCTACCACTAGAAGTGCTTTAATTTTGACCTCCAATATTTTCAATATTTACTTATTTTACACTAAAATGGATTTAACTATCAAATGGCTGACACGTTGGCCATTAAGATCAGGTCAATTTACAAATGACGCAGTGAGGGCCTTTAGAGGGGGTAGACTGGAATGCTGAGGTTCTGGGTCAGACACTGCTGCTTCCCATTACATCAGAATTAGCTGGGTATTTCTTTCAACATGGAAGGGCACGCTGTGAAATTATCTTAAGACAATTACACAATGCAATAGAACATAAAACTGGGAAAGCAACCAAAGATGACAAACTTCTAATTCCCACAAGTTAAGAAAAAAAAATCTTTTAAAGAAAAACCAGGGAGATGGCCCAGTAGGGAAAGTGCTTGTCAGTGGGGCAGGGTGAGAGAAGACAGGACTTCCCAGCAGGGAACTGGAGCCTCGGATCTC